CCTAATATTGAGCCCCGAAAAACATGAACATGAGACTTTTAAGGCTAAACTTTAATTACAAAAAAGTTCAAAATTACAAGTACACATCTCGCGTTACAGTGACGTTCAAGAGAGCAAAAAGAAGTCTAAAACAATTACAATGACAACTAATAAGATGATTATATTATTTTTAACATTGAGACAGTGCAGCACTTGTGCTAGACTTTCCTTGAGTGATGCTCTCCATTCTTGATCATTGTCGTCAGGGGAATCCGCTGAAACGTCTACCCAATGGAAGAAGTGACATTGTTCTGTGATGCTCCGTGGGCAGCTATAAAACTTTCTCCCGTAGCTGTGTGGTTGACGTGACGTCAACAGGGAAGTTTGGAGGCCACAGTGGCAGACCAGTCGTCAGGATGTCCCGAAAATTCTTGAGCTCATGTTTTTCTGATTGCAACAGTAGATGAAATAACAGTGAAATGTTGTTAGTATAAAATGGAATAGTACAAAAAATCTTTTCATTCAAAATACTCAAAACTAATTGTCGAATCTTAGTAAAAATTTAAGACTTTCTTTCTTTCTCTAACAAAAGTACGGTAAGCCATTGTAAAAATTTTCACAAACCCATAAATTTATGATTTCTCTTTGAAGAGTGAAGCGTAACATATGAAATAACACAGAAAACATACACCCACAAAACTGGATCAGAAGGTGCCAAAATGGAAATATCTAACCACTGAAAGGCACAATTAAATGCAGATACATCCATATTTTCTAAACGAGCACATTCACAGAACAATTTAACATCAACACAAATGTTATCCAAGCTACACCATGATTAGAGATAGTATAGAACAAGTATTTAAAAAACACAGCAAATTTGCGTGGTTCGGTCAAAGTGACCTACATCCACGGGAAAGGATTCAAACGTCTTTATTAAGGCAATAGAAAAAAGGTTACATAATTTGGAACTCGTGCATCAACGTGCACACCATCTATTGTGACAACGCAATCCTGAACAAATAGCTTCACTTAATTATGTGAGCAAATGATATTACAACTCCGAATAGTTGAAAGTTGAAGAAGTACTTTGAAGAAAGACATGTATCGTGCATCGTGCTGAATCTCCATCAGAGTTTGTGAAAACGTTGGATCGGTTAACTTTATGACGTTCTTGGACAGGCTAATGAGAGCAGTCAAACCCACTGAGAAGTATCTGCTTATCGTCTCCGATGAGTGTTGGAAACGTTCCATCGCAGCACAAATTGATTCATTTTGTGATAATATGTACATAGTCAATGTTGTGATAATACGGTCAGTCGTCCTCGATAACCCATGTAAGTCATGAGATCTACTAAGTTCTGCTAGTATATCTCTAAAGACTTCAAGCGTCATGCAGAACATGTTACTGAATATTGTTGGATGCTCTGTTAGCATTTCTCCTACACATGTAACACGGAGAGCTTGTAATGTATGTGTTGTAATATTCTATGACAAAGTTAATTGTTGCAGTTCTCCTTCGTTGTCATTCTTGCTATGGGTCCATGACGATGTTAATTGTACACGTAACCCCAAATGTGAGATTATCACTTATTAAAATCCGTACCAAATGACAACACAAGCATTGTATATATGTATGAAGTAGCAGTAAAAAAGCAGAATATGACTACAAATATAATGCAGTAAAATCTCATGGCTTAACAAATATAATGCAGTAAAATCTCAATCTCATGGCTTAAAAGCAGTTAAATAAAATGCTCTAGGGAAACTAAAATTTCTCACACAACAACAATTGAAATAAGATTGTCTCAGAGCAAATAAGGAGTTCTAAAACAACAAGCAATGATAACAAATTTCTCTAAATAGCAAACTAGGCATATGTGTCATAAGTTCTCCCTGCGGGCATAGAAAAGGCGTAGGTACGCCACCCGTCGTTCTTTTGCAATTGCAATGAAGAAATCTCTTTTTACGAAATCCTGAAGCAACTCCACAACAAAGTAGAATAGATCTACATCCTCTACAAGATTAAAATCTCAATATCATCTTCTAAGATTTTCACAACTTTGTTAATAGAAAGTTTCTGAACTTTATGAAGGGCATCATTGGAAGTGTCCATCAAATATGATATATGATTCCTGATAGAAGATGCTCCACCCTTTTTTTTTACTCATCACACGAGCACGCTTCAAATGATTTGTGGACTGAATTTCGGAAATATCCTGGCTGTGAAAATCGGGAGAGTCGGCAGATAAGCTAACAACCACATTTTCAAGGGTGCAACCGAATCCCGTCTCTATTGGAGTGCAAGCATATTTTCCTGTTGCGACTACCCCGCTAAACATTTGGTCCAATTTCTCCTCAAACTCCAGTTCTAAACCAACGACTTTGAATTTCTTCGCTCTGGGCACCACCTGAAGAAAAGCATTTAAATCATTTTACTGAAATGAATTATATGACATAAATTATAGGGAATGAAAAACTCCTTATCGCAAGTCTTTATGTCCACGCCTTCGGAGCGTCAATTGTTTGCTTGACCAGATCCCAACCCAAGCCCGTGGATACTCTTTTCAAATATTTCCAAATTTTCCAATCATTTTTCAGTTAATCTCATTTGTTCTTTAGCTGCAACCAATCGTACTCTCTGTCAATACGTTCTTAAAAATTTTTTATAATATTTTGTCACCCCTCCTTATTAAAGAATATCGTAGGTAGATTGCTCATTTCAACTTCTTTTAGGCAAAGGTCGCAAAATATAATTTTTGTGTCTTTTTCCCACAGCCAGGTGTACCAAGCTCTTTACTTTATTAGTCATCTTACTACTACGATAAAGATGAACATTGGAAAAGAATAGTGACACAATTTAGTAACGTGCTAGCCACTTTAAATAAAACAACATGATAATAAATAACATTTAATAACAGTAAAAAAAATAAACAAGTACCTAGAAGAAGGACAACAAATAACATAGTTCGGTCGAACTGACCTACATCTACAGGAGAAGAATCATAAGTTTTTATTAGCAATAAAAGTTAACATACATAGCTTACAACCAACATTTAACCCCTTCACATAATAAAAAAATGAAAGAGCTTAAAAGCAAATGTTGGGGAACTTTCATACATACCATCAAATTTTAGCACTTATTTTTCTTCCCTTTTACACAAGTAAAGTAATACTTTCCATGTAGCTCCACGAATAAGGTAGAAGGGATCAACAAGTTGATCCAAACATACCATCAGCTTCTCTCCCAAAATGTGGAATCTCTAGGATATTTTTTTAAGTAAATAGCTTGGGAGATGAATATGTTAATATGTTCACACGACAACACCTATAAAAAATATGAGGAACTAATAAGAAATATTCCCCACGTAACAACTATATTGGAAACAATTCAATCCAATTTGTCAATACCTTCATTACGCTTGCCATCATTTTTAACCAACGAAATAAATCACCTAATAATAACAGATAATGAAACAAGTAGTGATAAACGAAAATAATTCCATTTTGCTAATTCCTCCATTAGCAATCCCCATGATGTTAATTCCTCCACCATCACATTAATCACAAAGATGAAACACGACATTGAAATTTCACTCTTCCAATATACACATTAAAAGCATTTTTTTTCGGATTACCACCACCTTTATCAATAGTACAGCATTAACAATAGCATTAAGAGAAATTCCTCCATTATTATAACAATAGTGACAGCATTAACAACATACTCGAAGACCAACATCACAGAGCAACCACAAACATAAAAGCAAATTTCATATCCATATTTACCACAAACATAAAAGCAAATTCCAGATTCATGTACGAACATAAACCAAATACCCGATGGTCAGCTTCACAGAGCAACCACAAATAAAAGAAAACTCTACTGTAGCTACAGGAATGTTCAAAAATGCACACAAACTACTTTTTCAAATCTAACTGGAAGCATAACCCCAAAGAGAATAACGTCAACCCACCACCAAATCTAACATGAGAGCTAAAGTAGGGTCACGGGGTGATCTTTCTCATGATCAAACAGCCAACATAACACCATAGGACACTTCAAATCAACCCAACAATAGATATAACATTTGCGATAAAACCAAATTCCACATCTAAGGAAACCCTTCCGAGAACAGGAACGAAGATGAGAAATATGTTTCTTACCTTTGCTATGAGTAGATCACGAGAACAGAAAGAGAAGGATGAGAAGAAGAGAAAGGAAGACGCATAGAAACAGTCACCGGCCGGAGAAGAGGAGGGGAAGGGATGAAACTCGCGGCTTCTCTCCAATCTCGTGTGATAGGTCAAAGGGGCAAGGGGGTAAAAAATACATTCGTAAAGCTAGGTTGCACCTATTACATGACTGCTCGGCTTTCGCTCGTTACCGCATGAAGCAGCGACAAGCCCACCGAAACAAGCGCGAAAACAAAAAAATGCGGGCCGCACCACGCCGCAGTGCCACCTCCCGCCCAAATGGGATGTTAGAAAGATATCTAATCGCACAAAGAAATTAAAAAAAATATATCACAAAGCATTCAGAGGCATCCTTGACATTATTTCTTAATTTAAATTTCTTGTCTCTTACTTATTTTATTGAACTTCCTTACTCTTCCTATAATAATAATACTATATTACATATTATTTCAATAATATGCTTATCAAGATTATCATTGGAAGATTTACAAACATACCACCAAATTCCCAAGTATTTACATATCTAAAAATCCAAACTTTAATCATTACATTTATAACACAGGCATGAAAAAAATTATTTCGCCTTTTTAAAGTTAAAATAATGATATTTTTTATGTGATATCAAAGATTTCAGTGCAGTATAAGCGTAAATAGTAAAATTCAGATGATAGATATGTAAATTCATAAGAACTAGGTGGCATGTATGTAAAGAAGCAGAAAAAAGCAAACTTTGCAGTAAAAATAATATTCATAAATTAATATGCTCAGATAATTAATATTACATATTTAGTTCCACTAAGAAAATAAATACAAGTCTGATATAGTTCCAAGTTTCAAGCCTCCATTGAGTGAGCCTTCTCATTTGCAATCTGCTTTGGACCTTCCCATAGCTCAGCTAATTCATTTCTGCTCCATGAAAGGAAAACAACAGGTCCCAAAGTTGAAGGCACCTGCTTATTGAAAATATGCACCCAAAAGACATTATAAAGGGGCATTTACATACATACCATCCATTCCTCTTATGTAATTTACACACCTAACATCCAAACTTTTACTTCTCTTTTACATTTATACCGCTCAAAATTTTCATATGACGTCAAAAATACACCTTTTCATGCACAGGCAAAGTGGCTTACATGTAAAAGTTGAAATTTTAAGTTTAGACATGTAAATACATAGGAATTGATAGGAATTGAATGGTATGTATGAAAATCTTCCAAAATTAAATAGGGGCAGGGCATTTACATTCATACAAACCAATTACTATATATTTGCATATTTAAACATCCAAATTTTACTTTTTTTATATTTATATCATCCGAATGTTTCATATCACATCAAAAATACCATCATTTTAACTTTTAAAAAGTGAAATACACCTTTCTTGTAATATTGCATTTTATATTAAAATTTCAAAAGTTGCAAAAAAAGGATGCATTTATGCAACGATCATGTACAAAAGTAAAATCTATCATCTACAAGTACAGAAGAGAAAGCATGACGTAAAAATTATTGGCAAGTAAATACATGAGAATTGAGCGGTATGTATGTAAATCTTCCAAAACCAACTAATATTCAAATTTCGGATATAAAATGGAATATAGCAAGCATAGAAGGTCTACCAGGTAAAGAAGAGCAGGCTGAGGAGATTGACTAAGGATCCCTGCTGCTAAAGCAGCAACAAGGCCTACTGCATACCCAGAAACTGCATACCAAACATACTTGTGTCCTCTGGAGGCTGAGTCCACTGAGCTTTCTTTGCTTTTTCGATGATCGAAACAAAGCACCAAAGCCATGAGCATGCCGGGAATGGCCTGCAAAGTCAACAATGCAGATTGGTAATCAAACATCGAGATTAGTGGCCTGCAAAATCAACAATGCAAATTTGTAATCGACCATCGAGATTAGACGTAATAACAGTGTTTGTTCAACGGTCCGGGCTTTAGAAGTGTTTGCAAATGTCTCGGATTCGATCATCGTTTAAAGATTCCCATTTTCCATCTTCGAGGTTGAAAATAAAATAAAAGTACTTACAAAACATAACGTCCAAATCTTTCTAGTTTACAAAAATATCCTGCAAGTTAATCCCATGTATTACAACGTATCGTGGTTAAATGGGAGAGAATTTGATAAAAACGAAAAATAAATTGGATTTCTATTGTAAATTTTGAAACTTTGGCAAAATTTGGTGATGCAGATTTCAGACGCATCGGGTAAAGCAAAATTTCATCTGCTGTCATTTTATAATTTAGAAATTATGAGATAAATTCAAGAATTCTTCTCCAGTTATAGAAAAGATGCTGTGTGAATATCAAAATGGGTGCTACAGATTCTCGAATAAAAATCTACAAAATATTCAAATTTTAAACTAATTTAAAGATAGGAACAAATCCCACAAAGATGGCTAATGCAGTATAGAACTTGAAATGGACATAAAAATAGAAATTACTAAACATTTAGAGTTCGAACTTGATTAATCTCATCAAGGTTATTCTTTTTAACATCTAGAAACTCTTCTTAAAAGGAGACGGCACTCTCAAGTCTAGATGCTTTATGTCAATTTCGAATGCTTAATAAAATTTATGATTTTGTGAACCTTCACTCCATAGATGCCAATTTCAGTTTTATCTAGTGTTAGAGGCCAGGGTTTTTGAGGGCCGTCAGCCCTCTCGTCTTTAGAGTGCCGCCTCCTTTTAAAAAAAGCCCACTCCTAGTTATCTAAGAATATATATTTACTTTGTTGGTGTTAAGGGTTCAGTTTTTTCTGTGATTTGTTTTAGGACAAATGTCGGTGTCTCCTTTTCCCTTTCTATGATTGTATCCTATGGTCCCAGGTGATGCTTCGGTTGTATCTTAGTCTCCAATGTTGCGTATCCCCTTCTACCCTTCTCTCACTCTCTTCTGTATGGATTCCCTTCACTCTCACCGCTTTCCCTCTTGCTGCCACCTCGCCGAACCCCTTCATCCTTGGTGCCACCACCCAGAACAGCCCCCCCTACGGTTGTTTCCAGCTTACAAGCCGGCCCTTGCCACCACCCCAAAGGTCCAAACCCTACCCGACATCACCTACACTCTAGATCCAGCCCTCGGTCTAGTGTTGTGTTGTTGTTTTGTTACAATTTTAGATTTCCCTGCTGTTCGATATAATTTCAGTAATAATATTTGTTTTTTCTTTTTCTTGAGTGTTTGTTAAATTCTAGTATCACTAAATTTCCTTATCAAGCATTTCCGCCGGCCCTTCTTGATTCGATGGCCCATTAAAATATTCCAAATGAAATAAATTTGGATTCTATTTACGTAATTTGAAAGTTTTAGGCCAGTCATATATGATTCCAAAGTTCATGATTTGTTGAAACAATATGGAAAGATTGCATCCATCCCATGTGCTGCAAACTTGCATCTACCATACCAAGTCCCGAGTTAGCTCGAGCGACTAACAACCATTGCCAATGATTCTATCACCAATCAACAATCCAAAAAAAAAAAAAACTAAAAGATGAAATGAGGAGTACATAATAACTTGGAGAAGAACTCAACTTCCATAAATAAGTCCCACAAAAAAAAAAACACTTCGTTGAAAAACAAAAAAACCAGCATGCCCCTTATTGTTGCTAAGCTCTGAAAATGAGCTAGCCTAATATGACCACTAGAAAAGAGAAGCAATCACTCGCCTAAGGATGACCTCTCTCGCAAAGAAAAGGATGGGCTCGACACAGTCAAACTAGTTTGGCCTTGATCAAATAGATTCGTGCCCAAAGTTAGCTCAATGATATAGATACTTTATAAATCCAACAATTCTCACTTATTTTACCATGTTTGGATCCATTTGTAGATGATTCCAAATAATATTTTGCAGCATAAATCCAATTTTCCACTTAATTAAAAGGTAATAAATAGACATGCATCAACCATAATTGCTCCCAGGAAATTGACGTAGAGTTGCCCTCAACATCTACTATTTATTAAATTTCCTTATGGCTTCAAATTGTTGATCCAATCAAATTTAAGACAATGTGATTCATGTCTCTATCAACATAATTTTGACAATAAGCATTGTGCGGTGTCATTTCATGGATTGGTAAGTGCTTCATTTCATATTAATCTTATTCTAGCAACCACGAAGATGAAGAAGAATCCCATAAGGCTAACTTGGAAGATTGTTCACTTGAAGACAAGCTCAAATGTGAATTCAAGAAAACTCATGTAAAGAAATCAAGAATCCAAGATAGTGGAGCTTAGTGTCTTAAAGATCAACCAATCTATTTGATCAAGTTTGATTTACCAAATAATCTCAAAGATGATGAAGACATTGTTAGACACGCCAATCCCGTCAAATAGATTGAAGACTTATTTTAGGGCAAAGCTAAAAGGGAAATTTTGTAATTTATTATTTATTATTATGGGGGACAAATAGGGCTAATATGTTTAGCGGGTTAGGGTTAAGGTTCGTGATTGTTGTCTTGAATCTTAGGATTAGGGTTTTGAGAGAGATTGCCTACCTCTCGAATTGTAGGTGTTAGGGATGAGGTTTGGTAGAAAGCGTCTACCTCTCGAATTGTAGGTGTTTATCCTTTATGTATTTGAGTTATGTTGTTTGGTGTTATTTTTATTTGGTGGCCCTAATTTTTGGTGGAAAACTCATATGATTTCTATCAAATTGGTATTAGCACATTCGATTTCTAATAACCAAAAACATGATCGTTGTCACCTTCATTAATGAAGCGTACAGGCATCCATATAACCTAGAAATTCTGACTTTATCATGATAAGAGCAAGCTCGGAAGCAAAAGACCAAAAACAAGATAGATCGCAATGCAGTCACGATAATGCGGCAAGATAAATCGCTATACAATAACGTTAGGGGCTAGTTGTGAAGCCAACATCAGGATCATGGCGAACATATCTCGGTCGCGCCACCTTCGTGAAGGAATTTTGCGTTACAATAGTGAATGGCGAGCAATTCAAGCTAACAACGGGATCACGTCCACCAAACCTCGCAATACAACGCAACACGAGCTAGCTGGGAAGCTGACAATGGATCTCGTAGAGGAGTTCCACTATTAGAACTATCTAGAAAACCAGAGACATGATTGAGGCTTACAACCTGTCGATATAGACGCAATTCAGGCAATCTGGAAAGTCGTGGGAGCACAACTTACAACCTCACAGTACAATTGTGATTCAGACTACCTCGGAAGCCAAAGATGGGATAACAACATATAGGAGTTCCGTTTTGGTGATAAAAAATCATCTTGTTAGTAATATCAACGAAAAAAATAGATATTCTAGAGGAGAAATTAGAGGGATAAGTGAGCCAAATCAAATCGAAAATGGAGGAGTGTTTCTCATCCATTGAGGGATGACACTCATCCATGGAGGGAAGATTCATAGCCCTGAAAAAAATGATGAGGTTTGTGATATTTCTCATAAAACCGCCTATGCCCACTGTGGAATAGAGTGACGACGTGGGGAGCGGACGCGAGTGACATCAATCAAAAGGATTCATGCGGTATCAGGGCAGTGTCGTCGCTTTAGGCGAATCTGGAGTCGCAAGATCAATGAAAGAATCGGGAGCGGACTCGAGAGATAGCACCTGGAAAGAATAGTGCGATATTAAGACGATTAGAATGATCGGAAGCATGTGGGATTTAGCAAAAAGAGTGAGGAGCAAATTCGAGTGGTAGCATCTGGAGAGAATTGTGCGACATCGAGATGTTTGGAACAAGCGGCAGCCGACGAAATGAGATGAGATGAAATTCAAGGTTGCAGAAGATTGATTCAAAGGATTTCAGCCTCGAATAGGGAACCATTGTGGGTGCGACCCCGACGGAGAGTTGCATCCAACCACGCCCGTGCCTTTTGTTGAGACAGACTTCTGGGCGTAAGGCGATTCAAGAGCAATGATGAGAACGTAATATGCCAAGAATACCAGGGAAGTTTGAAAGGGATTGTTTTTGATAGTGCAGTGTATTCAGAAGAAATAGAAGATGGTGTTGCTCTGCGGTGACCCCAGTTTATACAAGACTTTGGTGGCACTAAAGCCCATGGTGAGGGCAATTCAAGACGCAAGATTAAGATTATTGATAAAGTTGCATAGCATGAAAGAACTAAATGATTTGGAGTTGGAAGAGATTATTGGAATCGATGTGTTATTGGATGAGTTATTTAGGGCTATGGTTTTCTAAAAAATTGACTAGAATTCAGGATACCATCAGATTCAGATGTAGCTGAAGGATATGCAAAAAATGACATTTCAAGCTTATGAGGGCGCTACAAATTGCTGATTAAATGGAAATGATTTTCAGATGATGACGTCACGTAAGATTCATACGACTTGGTCCTACCACATTTTTCTCTATTTCACCTTGAGGACAATGTATCTTTTCAGGATGAGAGTAATGTTAGACACGTCAAGCGTGCCAAATAATTTGAAAACTTACTTTAGGCACAAGACTAAAAGGAAAATTTAGTAATTTATTATTTATTATGGTGATGTATAAATCGGGACAATATGTTTAGGGTTATGATTATGCATTTGATTGTTTCCTTGAATCTTAGGGTTAGGGTTAGGGTTTGGGAGAGATCTCCTACCTCACAATAGTGTTAGAGTTTGGGAGATTGCTTGTTATTTATGTATTTGAGTCATTTTCAGATGAGGACATCGCGTAGGAGTCATACGACTTGGTCCTACCATATTTTTATCTCTTTCACCTCGAAGACAATACATCTTTTTAGGATGAAAGCAATGTTAGACACGCCAAGCCTGCCAAATAATTTGAAGATAATTTAGGCACAAGACTAAAAAGGAAATTTA